CAGCTCCCAGTCTGTGCCATGTCACTTTGCAGGGTCAGGGCATTGCTGAGCTTCTCTTGTCAGCCCATTCAGGTTGCATTTGCCTATGCATCTTCTCTCTTGAATATCATGTTTTAAATAACAAACTAGTTCAGCCTGTCAGAGGAGCTTCCCCTGTTCTGTGACGTGAAGAATGAGCTTTCTGCAGTTTGTGATATTTACACTTCGTTGTATTCTTGCTATTTTATATGATCCATCTAGAAGTAAATGCCCCTCCAGCCCTGGGTACTTCCCAAGGTTAGTGGCAGAAATATCTATAAGCAGCTGAGAATAACTATTAATATCATTGTTTATGTGTGGTGTGGCCTAAAGACCAAGGACTCTGTAGCCTGCAGTTAATGCAGTGCAGTTATTCTACATCTTGGAGGGATAAAAAATAATGCATCTTAATAAAAGCCTTTTTGCTGCTGGAATTGGCCAACAATTGAAAGGTGAATGCAGTGTATGTCAGCCTTGGGGTGACTGACCAGTGTGGGAGAGTGGGCTGGGAAATCTCCCTGTATCCTGTCTTGCTGTATTCCCCACGCAGCTGGAGTCCTGGACGGGTTTCTGAAACACATTTTTTTGTCCAAAATACCAAATAATTTGACTACATTATTTCTTCTATTCTCTCCCTGAAAACATGATATTTAGAAGCATAGCATACTTGAAATCATTCAAGAAACAATTTATTTAAGGATTCCCCTCCTCCTCTTCTTCCCTGGTTTATGATCCTGTTAAGTTGTAGCCACTGTATTAGGAAAAAAATGTTTTCCCTACAGTTTTTACTGAGTACTTGCTTTTGTTTGTCTTTCCAAGACTGTTATGCATAGTGGGGAAACTATTCATAGAAGTGAAAATAACCTCCATGCAAACCTAAATGGAGACAGATACGGATTGAGAGACAAATCCAGCTTTACTCATTTTATATGCAAATAACCTAACCCATGCAATACAGGGAAAAAACAAAAACGTCTCTTTTAGTACAGAGAAATTATGTCATTGCAGCTAGAAACCCCAGCAACAATATAAAACCCTAAAATTTAAGTAGGGAAGCATTTGATCTAGTATCGACTCATTTTTCTTACTGAAGATCAAAGCATCCAGGGCCCCCTTTGAAATATGTAATAAAACATTGAGTCGAATTTCCAGGGTCTAATGTTATTGAAGTTGAAAAGCTGGGGGAAAAAATGGAAAAGAAACTTTGCTGGGAGGTGTTTTTTCTCCAAATGAATTCAGAATACTTAAAGTAGAGCTTTTAGCAGTAATTTTAGTGCCACTTGTCAGTTCACCAAAACACTTTCTGTTACTAAATATTTCAAATTAATTCCAAATTACCATATCAGACAATTACCATTCCTAGGCAGTGCACTGTTTGCTGAATGAAGGTGAATATGCATGAGGATCTCTTTTTCATTACCCAATTTCATTTTTTCTTAATGAGCACAGGCTGCTTCTCGAGTTACATGAGATCTTTAATTGGTGTCAACAGCTGTGACAACGCCTCTCTTCATGGTTTTCTCCCTGCCTTGTTTTTAAACCAAAAGGCAGAAACCATGCTTCAATTTCAGATCCATAATGCGCTTTAAAATTCTACCAGCACTGCAGAGTGTAATTATCATCCAGAAATAAAGTTATTCCAGTGATTTCATCCATTTAATTCCCCTGCCTTGTCCTGGCGGGAGTCAAATTGTAAATGGAAGGTTTCCCTTTCTAAGACATAGCATTAAAGTCTAGATGTAGCAGCTGCTCCTCCCCAAAACCCAGGGAGTTTTTTTAATCAAAAAGGGTTAATTTTGGTGTGTAGGCTTCAGAATTCCTGGAACTTTTCTGTGTCTAGTTCAGGCTGGATTTTATTGTCTTGTGTCTGAGCTGACCCCCAGGAGGGGAGCAGGGGCCGTTCCCCTGGCTCAGGGACCATTTCCCACAGCTGCAGCATCCCGAAGCTGTGTGGTGCAGGAGGAGGACAGAGGCCAGGAGCTCACGTCAGCTTTGATGTGCAGGTGTAGGGCAATGTCAAAGTGGACATTTTGTCACTGCTGCTCACTGCAATGGTTCGGCCACACCAGCTCGTGTTGGGGTAAACTGCAGCTGCTGCCGAAGCTGTTTCTGCCTCTTTCCGTGACTGAGGTTCATTTCAAAAGGTGTATCCTCTCAAAGGGCTGGGCTGGGTCAGTAATCACCCACGCGTCACCAAGAGAGAGCTCTGTACCCAGAGAACAAGGGCAGTGTGAGAAGGGCCCCGTTTTCCCAGCGGAGAGCTCAGGGAGGAGGAGGAGGAGGAGGAGGAGGATGAGCAGGGGGTGTCAGCCTTGGGGACAGGACCCTGGGCTCTGCCATCAGTCCAAACGCCCCAGGAGAGCCTTGCACTGAAAATGGCTCACTGGAAATCCTCCTCACGGGTTGTGTGGCTTCTCAGGGTGATGGCTGTGTTATTTAGCAGCAGACACTGCTCCGGGAATTCCACCTTGTGATCTTTTCTGTTTGGCTCAAATCCAGACAAAAGCCCAAGAGGTTCTCGTGCAAAGCCTGTAATTCTGTGTCTGTTCAGGTAGGCCTTTGCATTACAGTGTTAGCAGAGAATTTTCTGGCAAAACAGAAAGTACTGAGTTTTCTTCTCCAGCATTTACAGAAATGTGTTGAATTTAACAAGCCTTTGACAAGACATAAAGAAGAGTGCCACATACTGCTGTCTGCAGCTGGAAACATACCTGCCTGCCTTTAATTTGTGGTCCTGAGCTTGAGAACAACACTGGTATCAGTCCTGTGATTAGTCCTGAGGGCTAATCTGCATTTATTATGTTTATGTACATGCCCGTTATTTTTCTATGCATATTTTATAAATATAAAATATATGACTGGAATGAAAACATAGATTACATGCCTTTGATTTTAAACCTGGGATGGTCCTGTCATGGGTGTGGTGGGATCTCTGTGTCTAGCTGCTGTTGGAGCTTTTGGATTGGCACCTCATGAAGAAATTGGGGGTTTTATATTTTTTTTTTAATATGTGGTATTCACATTTGCATTTTTTACTCTCATTTCCATTTGGTAGGATTTTTTGGTAAATCTGCCTTTTTGTGCTGAGCAAGATTGAGTCTTTTTGGCAAAGTTCAATCTAAATCCCCTAAATCACACTTCTGTTCTTGGCCTTTCCTAAGTCAAATGATCAGAGCACGGATGCTAAGCTGTGACCTTTTTTTGGTGATGCAGGAGAATGAAGCAGCAGTTTTAGACTTAGGAAATAAAGAGAAATAAAGACTACTGCCTCCCATCTTTCACACCTGGGTGTTTTCAAACACTTTCTGAAACAGATCTTTTATAATGCTTAAATGATAAATTACATTACAGACATTTTCAGAATCTGATTGCTAAAACCCAAACCATTTCAGTATGCTGTAGATGCTTTTGTGTAATTGCATATGCTATAGGCAGATAGAGCTCTGAGAGTTTGAGAAATTTCTTGTGAATGGCAATCAAATTGCCTTTGGATACACAGGAGTTTATAGTGATCATTTATTTAAATCACGCCAAGTTTCATCTCATGTTTAGCATCTGAAACAGATTAATAAAAATTTTGTGAAGCTTGATCAACACCGAAAGTTTATTAATTAATTTTGTCAATTAAAAGTACCGAAGTTTTCATTAAGAGGTACTTAATTAGAATTAATTCAGAATTAATACTGTAAATTAGAACAGCAATTAGTACTGTTAATTTACCCTTGAGTCGGGGATGCCCCCTAGAAGTGCCGTTCCTGTACATTTCTCTTAAAAACATTCTAAATTAATTTAAAATCTGTTAAAATCATTCATGGTTCTTCACTGTGCAATTATTCAAATGAATGCCATATGCAGAAGTGTCAAGAATTGTTGTCTCTTTTGACAATGAGGGTGCTGTTGATAGCAGAGGATGAGCCAGACGTGGTTTCATGCAGGAATGAGAATAATGGCACACGTTGTTTTTTATCATGTTTTTCTTCTTGAAAAATCTTATTGCTGTCCCTTGTGTTTAGAATTCTTTTCCATAGCAAAGATTATTTCTTCCCTGTATGGTTGAAAGTATTCTTTCTTCAGTAAATCCTGGTTTACATGTTTACTTTGCATGTTTACAGCCTAAAGCAGTTATTTATGCCTACTTTTCTGCTTATCTGTATTTTATTGAAATGAACTTAGTCAATGAATTTCATTGGCAGGAATTAATGAAATGATTTCTTCGTGAGTACATGGGGGGACAGTGCCACCAATGTATTTGGAAAAGCAAAGAAAATTAATTAATTGGAAATGTACAAAGGAAGATTTACTCAGTTGTGGTTTTCTTCCCAAATGCCTGTGCAATTAATAAATGAGGTTTTTCAATTAAAAAATTAAATTAACAGAAAGAAACTTGAAGGCCTTCTTCCAGAGGACAGCTGTATTATGAAACATTAATTTGCTCTGAATGCCAAGAACATTTGTGATAAAGCAGCTGCCTATTTATTAAATATTATCATAGTGTGTTATCGACCATATTTCTACATCTCCCGTTTTGAGTTAGTCTAGAACATGTTTAAAAAAGGATTTAAAAATTCTTGCAAGCTACAAATAAAATGACAAATGAAGGAGTAAAGGCATTCAAATCTCCTGAAAGGGATTTATTTTGGGGGCCATACTTCTAACGAGGAACCAACAGCAAACAAGAAAACCGAAATATTCTGCTTTAAAACCTCAAATCTCTTTGAAAAATGAAGTAACCGGTGGAAAAAAGTAACAATGGCAAACTTTTTTATTAGGAAGGCAGCTCAAGGGTTCTAGCATATTCCATCCTGCTTCTTGAATATTTCTCTACTGTTATTAGAAAGCATCATGTGTAATTTGTACTTAGAAACAAACTGGCACAGGTGATTCTTGGAAGTGGCTTCTGCAAGCACTTTAATAATGAGTAATTATCTGTACCGAGTGGCAGTGGGAGATGTTATCAATTCATAAAGCCTCGGTGTTTTTCCTCACAGGAACGGGAGCCACCTCTTCTGATTTCTGTCCTGCTCCTTCTTCAGCAGCTCCCTGTACACCTCTGACCTCAGGAACCTGGGAAAAGAGTCCTTTGCCATGAGGCAGTAGACTGAGCTCTGAGCAGCATCAAAGCAGCTGAGGCTGGGCTTGGAGATGTTCTGGGAGATGTCGTTTTTGGTATGGAAGTCAATATTAACCTGTGGGAGGAAAGGAGCGCGAGAGCTGCGTCAGTTTTATAGGGGAGCTGAGATCTGTTTGTGCCCAGGACACAGGCTGCGTTTGAATTTCCTCCCAAATCACCCAACTGATGCAAATAAACAGGGAGCTCATCCCTTCCTTTTCTAGCAGACTGAATTCTTCATTTTATTTGGCTCTAAAGAAGATGGAATCACAGAAAAAAAGGAAGGAAAAACTTCCTTTTCCTTCTCATCTTTCTGCCAAATCAAATCCTGTGAAGTACTAATCATCAAAGGGTAAATTAAAAGTGAAGGTACTCGGCATCATTTCAGATTTTGGCCCTACGCATTTTTAAGGACTTTTTGTTTTAACAACAATATGGATTTCAATCATATGTAAGACATGGGGACATTTAAAGCACTCCTGCTAGCAAAGGCAAAAACAGTGTAAAAGTTTAGGGTGCAGGAAGTGAATAATGATTAATGAGCAATGTATTCCTTCATGGTAATGAAATAGTGATAAAATAGAATTCTGTGATGGAAATTTTTGCATTCTCATCGTGGCAAAAATACCTGTACAAAAGAACAAATGCAATCAGAAACATACTAATGCTCTGGTACCATAAATATGGAAGAAATAGTGCCTCCTGCATTATGAAAAATGGCTAGAGAAAATAAATTCTATTGAGCATAAACTCCCTTAGAACTTCAGGCAGAAATTTCAGAATTTGAGGTAAACTTATTCCTGTGTGAAGAGTGTGAAGTGTAAACCACAACGTTTTTGCTTCCCAGAGTTGCACAAGGCGTTTGCCTGGTGAATAATGGGCATGAAAATGGGAATTACAGCCAGGCTGAATCGCATTTTCTGTCATTCCTGGAGGTCTGGACCCAAATTTTCCATTTCATCCATGTCCTCAGTACCCAAAGCACACACAGAAAAACCCTTTACCTCCTTTGGAGCATCAGCTTGTATAAAGTCAGAATAAATCTTCTGGGCCTTCGAGGCGATCTTGGTGGAGGATTTGGTTTTCTTGAAGTCCTCACAGGCCAGCCAGAACTCCACATTTTCCTCACTGAACTCAGACTTCAGAAACGTCCTAAAAGCTGCCAGGCCCTCTGGGGAAAGTGCATCAGACAGTGGGTGGGGGAAAACTGAATGGCCAGTGCAATTATTTGTGTGTGTGCATACTCACACGTGTGTGTGTGTGTGTGTACATATGTGTAAATATATCTATTTTTACAGGGTGTGTACAGTGTAACCTATCTATCTGCCACAATTTTACAAACTAATCTCAGGTCTGAGAAGCTGCTGCCGGGGAAATAAATAGATTAAATTACAGTGCTGATGAGGGGACTACTCAGGGAGTTTTTCAGTGAGCTGCCAAGCAAGGATTGCTCCCAGCAGCTGGGGTTTGGTCTCCTTAGCACCGGTACATTTGTTGAAATGGAGGTTTTGGTCTTCAAAAGGATTTGTAGTGGCTGGGAAATCTGAGATTTGAGGCTGACCCCTGGGTTGAGAAGCAAACAGACAGGTGGGTCACACTGTGCTGGTGTGTTCCCCCCACAGCTGAGCTTCCCTGCCCAAATGGGGCTCCCAAATCCCTGCAAGGAAAGATCGAGGCTTGGATGGAAGAGGGACTCCTGGTTACTTCTTTGTTCCTCGTTTTATTTTTTTACTTTTTTCACTTTGAAGGGGAAGAATGAAACAAATAAAGGTTTGCTAGGAAGAGACTGTTTTAAAATGAATCCAAATCAGAAGCTCTGAGTAAAGAAAGCTGACAGCACCCAAATTTAATTGTGTTAGTCAAGTTCCTGCTATCCAGGAACGGTGTGGAGGCACCCCAGGGTCCAGACCCCACATTGCCCAGGGAAATGGGGCAGGGGCAAGGAAATTTCCAAGTTGTGTGTGGTTTGTGGTATCAGGTCTGTAGAAATGGCATTTCTGGGAGAAGTGACTTCAGATATGTCATTTTGTTTGACTGGAAGTCACTGCACAGCACACGTATTTCTCAGGAATCCCTAAGAAAACATTTGTGGTTTATTACGTGTAGAAATTACGAAAAATGAAACCATTGCAAGGGGAATTTAGCAGTTACCTTAATGAAAACTATTTCACAGCATTTCTGCCTGCCCTGGAGCATTGGCCAGAAGGCAGCCTGTGCCTGCAGCTTGGCCAGAGCTCTCAGGACAGCATCAGTCCAGCAGCAGCTCTGACTGCACGGGGGAGCTGAGCTGGAGAGCAGCTGAAAGCCCAGCAGGAATGTTTGGCAGATGTTTGACAGAAGTTTTAAAAAGACATGTATTTTTCCACCACTTCTTACCTTTACTGGCTAGTACTGTATCCACAGACTCAGCCCAGGCCATGGTTTCCCCAGTGTTTGACCTGTGGAAACAACATCTAGCCCTGAAAATAGCATTGTGGTCCTTGCCCTGTGCAGCCCGGGCTGGCTGCTCGGGACAGGGCTCAGCACTCATCCCAGCCAGGGAAAAACAGGGATCTGGGTGCTGCTGACTGGATTGTCCATCCTGGAAATACCCCCAAAGCTTGCAGCTGCTGGAGCTCCAATAAAGCATAGCAGAGGTAGGAATGTTCTAGAGAGCGTACTGAATTTCTTCCTGAGTTCAAAAGGATTAGGCATTAATTTATATGGCACTTTTTGCTTGGAATGACTGGAATTATCTAAAATGTTACCAAGCTAACACTAGTGGGAAACATGGGCCTAGAAGGAGCTTCTCAGTGGTATAAATAACCGAATAAATTCATAGTTTTGGCTCTTCCTCTGCAACTTGCTGTAGGCTTCTGCTAGACATGAGGGCAAGCACTTTGTTCTATATAAAATATTGCCAGTTTTCTTAAAAAAACCCAACCAACCAAACAAAAAAAAGAAACAAAAAACTCAGCACAAAAAAAAAATCCCAAGCACTCCCAAGTTCTGTAAAAAACATTTGCTGTTCCTAAGGGGGGGACTGAGGGCTCAGCTGTCAAAACCCTGCTCCCTGAATCATAGGGGCTGCTTTGGGATCTGTGTTCCACAGCCACCTCTCAGCATCACCAGTAATGGTAATTTCTAATTGCAAATTTATGCAGAGATCATACAACACTGTCTGGATATTACGTGGCTGTTATACTTCTGTTATATTCTGTTATAATTCTGACAAGGGATGGTGGCAGTGGCACTTTAAATAAAACAAGATTTTCTGCAGCTCTCCATTTACTTGTATCCAGAGTGCAAAAATTATATTGAAGTAAGAAAAAAGTTGTGCATATTTATAAGTCCATATAAATACATACATGAGGGAAGCTGGAGTGCAAATATAGTAAGTCTGTGAAAATACAAATGAAAACTAAACATAGCATTTTGTTGTACTTTTTGAGACGTCATGTGATGATGGAACTAATCAACAGAGAATTTGTTTTAGTGACAATAAGAAACTTTTATCAAATATGTAACAAATTTTCAGGATTTTTATTAAATGCTTATTAGCTTTCTTGTCAAGCAAAAAAGCAAAATGAAAGACCAAGATAAAGCAGGGAGTTTTCCTTGTTGTTCTTATGGGTAATATTTGTCATTTTAATATTTACTCACCACTCAGGGAATGATCTCACTGACCACGTGGGATTTACTTGAATGGGAATGGCAAGCAGAACTGACAACAAGGAATCAAAATAGTCATATTCCCTTCAAAGGGGGAAGGAAAATAAAGCTGTACAGATTATTCAGGCTTGGTCATCCTGCCACATAAATCTCCTACGAGTGAAATAGCCATAAACAGCAACTCACTTCACTGGCATTTCTTGTTCCACTCTTTGTCTGTCTGACTGTCTCAGGGAAGGCAGAGTTTCTTTTTCTGACTGATCTTCGAGCTGAAGGCAATGTGACAGCAGGAACAATACAGTTAGCATGTGGATAAGCAAACAGGACATTGCACATTGACAAACCCTTTTCAACATTTTCTTTAAAATCATTTCTTTCAGAAACATGGCCCATTTCCAGACAGTGCCATTCCCACCTCCCAGTGGCCACAGCACAGAAGGACTGGGGGCAATGGGAACACGTTCCTGCCCAGTCACAGGTGCTGGAGGAGTGCAGAGAGGGGCAGCAGGTGCTGAAGGGGCTGGGGCACAGGTCTGATGAGCTGGGCTTGTTCAGCCTGAGAAAAGCCCCAGGGGGGACCTTACTGCTCCCTAGAACTGCCTGAGAAGGGATTGTGGCCAGCTGCTGGTCTATGCAATTTGTCTCTTGTGCTTTATAACTATTCTTTCATGCCCAGCTCTTTGCTTCCTCTGTGTAACCCTTGCTGTCCCTCCTTCTCCTGAACAATCCTTACTGATTGATTTCTTGCCTCCCTCCAAATCTTGTCCTGAGGCCAAATCCTTTATTCAGATTACCCAGATTCCTGGTTCTCAATGTCTCCACTTGGCATAAACTTCCAGTGGCTCAGGAAGTGGGATCCCAGCTGTCCCAACTTAGGGATTTTTGTCTTAAATCTTAAATGTTATAATGTTTTACACCCAATAGAGCAGTCTTAGGAGTGAGTTTAAGGTTCCATTTGATTTTCCTCCACGGTGCAGTCATGAGCAAAGCTGCCTCCTGCCTGCCTGAGAACATCTTTCTGATTTTAGCCATGTCCATCTTCTATGGTCAGAAGGAAAAGCCCAAGCACCACATGCCACGTTTCACCCTTAGCAATGTTAAGAGGTTATTCCTTATCCTTACCTTTTGCAGATCTGTGAAAGAAGTTTCAGGCCAATCTATTTGATGAACTTCACATGGGACAAAAAAAACCAGTAAATCTGGTCAATTGTGCTCCAGGAAGATGAAATCAGATGGAAACAGATGTGGAGAGGTGCATTACTGGGACAAGCACGAGAATTGAATTGTCTTGCAGGGGAGGAATGAAAGACCAGTTTGTCTCTAAGAGGAAAGCAGAGAGGAGCTATGATTGCCCTCTGAAAACAGAGAGGTAACCTGGTGAGAAAAAATAATTATTTAGCATAATGACTATATTGACAAAAGAAAAAAAAAATGTATATAAGCAGCCAGTGAAGAAATTCAGACCGAAAACCAGAATAAGGCTTCACAAACTGTTGGTTTTTTACAGACTCCCAGAAGAATTTTTTGCCCTCTCTATTCCTCTATGCTTTGAAGATAGAGCTTCATATATTTATGAGATTATTTTAAATTGTTGTCTTCGTTAATAGAACACCAGAAATGATGACCTAAGATGCCCTTTTAGTTCCTCATATTACTAAAAATGATTCCTGGTAGCAAAATACGAATCCTTTTGGTAATTCCTTAGCTTTGCATCTGCTTGCTTCTAAACCTTATAGCAGAAGATCAGAAATGTTAATTATCATCCTGATTTTCCTCTGTGATTCTTATTTTGCTTAATCGGTTATTTTCTCTTATTTCCAGAGTACACCTTGTGTGCCAGAGAGGACCAAAAGCCCTTTGTGCATTGTGCTAGTGAGACTAACTTCAGCAGGGGAGAAAACTTCCAGCATCTGTACTGACATCCAGTCCTTTGTGCCTGATTCAGCCCCAGGCCTGAGCTTTGGTAAAAGGGAATCAACATAATTCAAAATCCAAGCGATATTTATCTGTGGAGCTTCTGGCTGGGCAGAGTGTAAACAGCTACAGCTGGAATTTTTTAACTGTGCCCTGCCAGAAAAGTCAGTCCAGTTGTGAGGACAGAGTTGACACTAAATTAGGCAACTCAAAATTCTTGGCTGGCTCTATTAATTTCTCAGTGTTTACCCTGTGTCTAATCCCAGTGGTTCTACTATTTACCCTCCTTAGAACTGTGACCATAAATTGATGCATTTTGCTTTTTTTAACGAGGTATTATCATTGCTATATCATAGTTCCAGTAACTCCTGTGAAACTATGAGAGGGAAGGTTGAGGATCTGTGCCTATTTTTTATTAATATCATCAGATGATATACATTTATTTCAAAACAAAACTCCAGATAGTGCCACATATTAATTTTTAAAATTTCTGCCTAATAGCCTGAATGAAGCAGGCATGAATGTCTCTTCAAGATTTTTCAGGACTGATGGATATTTTTCAAGTCAGTCTTAGCAGCCACAGAGCTAGGCTAAAACCCAGGAATATTCTAGCACACACAGTAACTGGATGGACGCAGCTGGATTGCTTTTGCATTTTAGGGGCACTGCTCACAATCCACAAAAGCATAAAGAAGCTGTCAGGGACTCTCATCACTGTACAACATTCTGTCAGTGACTGCTCAGTCTGTGCAAGCTGAAAACATTTCAGGTGTGCAGCAGGTTAAGGGAGTTGTTGTGGTATTTGTACCGGGACAATGAGAATAAGTTCGCTAACCAGTAAGTTCAATTTCCCATAGAAACCAGCTGGTTGTACCTCTCTGTACCTCCTCTGCTTGGAACTTGAGTGTCTGGAAAGAAACTGATATTTCACTGAAATGTCACAAGGAGAAAAAGTGATCTTAGTTATAAAACAAATGCATCAGCTGCTCGTGCCAGTGTGTTGGCTATTCATAATAACCAGCACCCAGCAAACAAAAGGAAATAGGAATAGGTAGTAGAGATGGGCTGGAAATGGCACATGGAATTAGTGCTAAAGTTGTTGTGGATCTGGAGCCAGCTGACACACGCAGTTACAGCTTCAGCTCACTCAGAGCTGGACCTGCAGAGCCCTTACCTGCTCAGCTCACTGCAGGGCATTTTTCTCTTTATCTGTCAGGCCTGGAACCTTTCAGTTCCTCTGAGGGCTGGGCTATGGATTTCTGAGTCCTCTGCCTTTGATGACATGGGAGAGCTGAAACCATAGGAAAGGGAATGTGGACCTGACTGAACGTTCCCAACTGTGCCAGTATTACTTGCTAAGGACCCCTGAGTTATTAAATATTTAAATCTCCAGAACTTTCACAGTTTGACTTTTACTGGTGCTCACCTTTTATTCTTTAACTATCTTCAGGCATTAGCTTTGCTGAATTATCTTCCTTCATGAAAAGCCACTGGCTGTTGAGGGGATTAAGACCTGTCAGTTTTTGTTCCTCTGGCCTGGATACTAATCACAACAGTCTAAAGCAATGCTACATATTCAAACCATTGGTTTATTAACCTAGGAAATCATTTCCAGTTCCACAGGTTCCTAAAAGGGCTGCCTGGTACTCACCTGAGCACAAGGTGAGAAAAGCTCACACTCCAGTGGATGTGCTGCTGTTTCCCTGGAGCAGGCTCAGTGTGTTAATGCTCCTCTGGTAATTCCATTCCATGCAGAGATTTGTTTGGGCAGAGCTGGTTTGTGCAAGGCAACCTCAGCAGAGTGAAAAATCAACGTTCTGCTGCCCCGAGCAGTGAAGCCCAGGGGACTTGGGTGCATCCCTTATGTTGGGAGAAGCCAGCATGATCCAGGCAGTGCTGGCATCCTCAGAGCATGGAAAGGCCTGTCCCAGGGGGATGCAAATTCAGCCTAATCCCAGCACTATGTAAATGCCCCCCTTCCCACCGTGCTGCACAGCACGGGCAGCTCACAAAATAATTGATCTTTTTCCATGTGAATAACTCTGTGTGCCTTCAGTGTGCCACAGAGTTGCTTTGCATAAGAAAATGAGCTGATATTTTCCACCCAAGCAAACTATGCCCTTCAGGTGAAATGTTTTGATTCCAAGGACAATCTGTCAAAATATTTTACAGCACTCTGGGATCCTCTTATTCAGGGTTTCCAAGTGCTGTACAATCACAAACCTCCACTGGAAAAGAACTGAAAACAATTCTCAATAAAATGTGAAATCAGGAAAAACTGGAATAGCATTAGATGCAGAAATTCAAAATGAGGCCACGAATCTGTGAAGAAGCAAGAATGTCTTAATTATGAGCAAATTTTATGGTGAAGAAATGGGAGTTCAGAGTTGTCCTTCTTTTGGGCTTCATCCTTATCTTCTGTCCTGCTTGAAAACTCTCAAATGGCTGCTGTAGGGTTTCTTGCTAGTTAATTTTTGTTACCTTTGGTGGAGAAGGCAATGGCAGAGGCTCAATTGTAAATCTGGGAGGGCAGATAATTTCCTGTACAGCCCAAGGAAGAATTAGGAGGGGGTTACACAAACAGATTCTGTTTAGGAAAGGAGAGAGGAAAGCTTTGGGAGCTTTATGAGACCAGCCCCCATAAAGTGTTCAGGGCACAGCAAATGGAAGACAGGAACATATTAACAAGGAATAAAGTAAAAATGGAAGTAAGTTTGGGTGGTGGATAGAGGAAATACATTTTTATCTTGGGCACAGAGCCACACAGGAGCTTAAAGGGCATTTGATTGAGGCATTTGACTAAAATGCAAAGAACAGAGTGGGATCTGGGATAGGCAGCTGAGCAAGGACCAAGTTCATGAGTGTATGAATCACTGATGAGAGGAAGATGATTTTCTGCAATTTTTTTTTTCTCAGCTGAGGTCTTTGGCAGCATGTGTGGAAAGGAGAGGGAGCTGCATTCAAAGCAGGAGCTAATTAAGGCAGGCTGAGCAGCTGGGGACAAAAGGAGAGGAAAATGATCTGCTGTTTGTGAGTCACTTAAAAGTTGTAGCGTGTAAAAGCATGTAAGAGCTGTGATAGTGATTGCCTGCTTCACTGGAAAATGGAAATCAGTCTTCTTCTTTGAGATTCTTTATCTTAGACTTCATTCTTGCTTCTTGTCAGTTGAAAAATCAGTTGTCTTTAGCTCAATAACAAATCCACAACCTGAAGAAGATATTTGTTCCTGTATATTTCTTCCTCCCTCGAGTTAAACAAGAACAGCAGATCATAATTCAGCCAATTTAAAGCATCTAATTAGATGGAAGTGTTGAAACAGGAGAAGCCTTTGTGCCATGTGAGTCAGGAGATTGATTCCCTCATGCTTTGTGTCTTGAGACCTCACCTATGGAAGGAGTGAAGTGCAGGGTTTGGGTAGGGCCAATATTGTATTGACAGGAGGAATATTTTGGGAGCTCTTGCTGAGCCCTGAGTGGCAAATATATCAATATCAATATCAATATCAATATCAATATCAATAGCTGCTGCATGAAACAATCTCCAATAGAAGTACTTGCCCAGCAGGCTTTGTATTTGCATTATTTGCATTAAGGCAGCTCAACGAGAGGATTTACATAACTGTGGTTCAGATTCTGCCAAAACCAGAGAAGCCTGACTGTGTTCTCTGGTCCTACCCTAGGATTTGTGCTGTAAATACATCTGTGCAGGGCCAGTGCTGAGTCTGACCAGGATCACAGACTTGTACTAAATCCATGCCCAGCTCATCTCCAGGACTGCAGCACGACACTAAATAGTAGAGTGCTCATTTTCTCTCACTAAAGGGAGCCTCTTCTAGGAAAAAAAACCCCTTTGCCAGATAATGATGCCATTTTGGTTTATCTCTGTGTCCTTTGCTTCCCTTTCTCTGAGTTTATCTTGACTTTCTTTCTACAGTAGTTCCCATGGCACTAGTCTGCTGCAAATTCAGCTAGGGTTCATAATTATCTTTGGAAAACACACATGCATAAATAGCTACCAGGAATATCTTATTTGTTTGTTTTCATTATAAAACTCATGAGAGGGACTAGCACTGTCAGTACCACAGACTGATGGGTTTGAGGAAGGCCTCCCTGGAGATAAGCAAAATTTTCCATGTGTCTGTGAAATGAAATAAAGGGCACCTGCTGACTTCTATTTATCATTGCTGACCCTTCTGACTAACAGCTGGGCTTTTGCTAACAAGAAAAACTCTTACTCAGGGTACTGCATTTGTCATTTGGTTGGATTTTTGAATAGTATTAAATATATGTAATTTTTTCATTTTTTTCCTTCATGGCAATCCACCCAAGATATGGATTCTCCACTGATATGAAGGGACATAATCACACCAGGGCAGAATTTAGCTGCAAGGTTGTTGGTCTCACGTCTGTGTGGCAACAAACCCAGTGCCAGGACTCAGGTGGGGCTGCTCTCAAACCTGTTCCCTTCTTCCAGCAGGGCTCCTCATCCATGGCACAGGAACATGCACGTTTTCAGTGCCTGAGAACTGGAATTCAGGCACTGCTGGTGCTGCTAGAGAGCTCCTCAGCACAGAATCCTCAGGGCTGGAGGTGAATCCACAGTCACCCCTAAGCCCAGAGGCTCTTGAGCTGTTCCAGAGACCCCACTGCTCCCTTGGGCAGCTCCTTCAGCACCTGAGAGCCAGTGAAAAACCCCTGTGCCCAGCCCTGCTTTCACTGTCAGAAAGAAAAACCCCTGTGCCCAGCCCCTGACTGCTTTCACTGTCAGAAAGAAAAACCCCTGTGCCCAGCCCTGCTTTCCCTGTCAGAAAGAAAAACCCCTGTGCCCAGCCCTGCTTTCCCTGTCAGAAAGAAAAACCCCTGTGCCCAGCCCCTGACTGCTTTCACTGTCAGAAAGAGCCTGTGCCTGGTGTTTTGAGGTCAGGGGAGGATGAGCAATAAACCAGCACGGATCATCATCACAAATGTGTTTCCTCTCTGCTCCCCAGGTAAAGGTGAGAGCTTGGAGGTGGCTCCTGGGTCACTGTGGCTCAGCAGCATCTCCAGAGTTTGATTCTCTGTGCACAGTAACGATTCCATTACTGTGGCAGTGATTACAGCTAGAATTGAACCCTGGGTGAAGTCTTCTCATCTTCCTCATCAATGTACTGATGATAAATCAAATCCTGACAACTCTTTAGGCAGATCAGATTTATTGGAAGTTAATAAAGCAGAGAGGGAAACCTGCAGATCCAGCAGTTCACATACACCCCAAATTAACCATGAACACAAAGTCCCATCCTCAGGAGCTGCACCTCTTCTCCTTCAGCACTTACAGAAAGGGGGAGAAAGGGAGAAAGCTTAAATTGCACAAGCAGCAACTGAATATACGAGTCATAGTTCCAGATAAATCCTGCAGCTGCTTCCTAAACTGGACCAATGTTTAAGAACTGCCCCAAGCTTCAAGGTATGTCTGCAGCAAGACTGTGAATGAGGAGGACAGAATGACTGTGTGTGCCAACTACAGAAAAATACGTCTGTCTTTGATAGTAAAGAAATAAAAAAGATTTCTCCTTCTGCATCTGTAGCCTATAGAGAGGATATTAATGGCCAGTGGAACTGGAAGTTGCTCTGCCTCAGTCCAAGAACTGTTAATTTTCAGATACATTTTCAAAATAAAAGGCAGAAAAAAAATTAAAACGAAGTTTAGTAGCAAAGTTGGTGTACCATGACTATAAATAAAAGTAGAAATATTTTATATATATATATATATATACACATTGGCATGGCAAAGTATTTAAGGATACACACTGTGTCAAAATACCATTCTTGGCCCTTTGTTGCTGCTCATTTAGCTGCAAAAAAATTAGAATACCTGTATTTGATGCCAAAGCTAATATACACAGCATAACTTAAAAATAGAGAACAGACATGTGGAACAAGAAAAGTGTACCCCCAAAAAATTACATTGGTATTTTAATGTTCTTCTTAAAATAGGCAATGGCTACATTTTAATTACAGATTTAATTATGCGGTGTCTTTAGTTAAAATTCATGTAACTTTGCATTATACCTGATAATGTTCCTGTGTGTTTTACAGCATGAGAAAATACCACAAATTCTCTGTGCTCAGTGTAGGAAATATTCCAAAAACCATAAATATGTGCAGAGACTGGATACGGAGATCCTGCCTGCGATGAAACTCTGGCCTAAGCAGTAGAGACCCAGGGAACGAGCTGGATAACATCAAACACCACTTTACAGGACATCTTTAAGCTGGAAATTCAGATTTTTCCCCCCAAATCTGATCAGAGCTGTGTGAAAACTCTGCATGCCGCGGCTTGGCGACACATCCCCTACTCCTCCAGGGAAGTGAGGTTGTTCTGCAGCGGTCTGAGGCGGGCTGAGCGCGTTTCCCGGGCGCTGGGCTGGGGTTCGGGGCACTCCCCGCTGCTGCGGGCTGAGGAAACGGCGCTAGCTCCATCAGCCCATACACCTGTCATACATGAAACTGGAATTCTGACACCTAGGTCCCTTGAGTTAATAACAGTTTAATTAAAAATGAGTGTGATTTAGTAAATTGAATAGTGATTTGGTAGAAAAGAATACAGTTTAGTAAAAAATTACAATTTATATATGTAATTTTCCAGTAATTAAGTATGATTAAAGCATAAGCAAAACCGACCGGGGTACGGAGGGGGTTCCCCACCCTGCCTCAGGTACAAAACAAAACACCTCAAGCTAAACTCATGTACTGTGTGTTTATACATATTCATTCATGTTTCCTGACAGTTTCCTCCTATTTCCCATTTTTCTGACTTTATGTCCCTTTCCTTCACGGCCCGTGCCTCACTTGTTGTTAGGGGGTCTCCAGTCTTCTTTTGGTGGTCTTTTGGTGAAGGCTTCTCCTCTTCCTCGTTGTCCTTTGGATAACCTCACAGGTTTGTGTGAGCGTACTGAGCGTTGTGTTATGTTAGTCTACTAATTAGTCTGATAATTACTGGGTTTTAGGCCCAATGCCTAAATTGTTCTAATTTTGTCCATCTCAAGGCCGTTTTGGTCTTGGGACATCACTGATCTTCCAAACTCCATCCTGTACCTCAATTTGTAACATCTGTAAAGGGGTGCATCTGCCTTGCAACACCGATTCTTTTGCTTGCCTCTAATAATACCTTCAGCAGCAGTTAGAGTTCATTTATCAGGAAGGAATTCCCTGTGTTACACACGGCAGGAGCGGGAATGGCCGCGCAGCAGGCTGAGGTAGGCCGCGGAGCCGAGGAAGCGGCGGTAGCTGTCGTGCTCCATCAGCGCGTGCACGTGGCGCTGCGCGGCCTCGAAGGCGCCGCGGCCCGGCTGCGCCACGGCCACCCGTGTCACCTCCCGCGTGTGCCAGTCCAGGTTCACCTGCAGCAGCGGGGGAACAGAGAGCTGGCTCAGTCAGCTCGGCACAACGCAGGTCCCGTCAGCCACGGCCGCTGCGCCCTGCCTATTTCGCTTTATTCTTTTTATTTTATTATTTGTCCCCCCACAACGGGTTATTAAATGATGGAATCGGTGTGTTCGCCTCCAGTGATGGCTCTCAGAAAGTCTCCTCAAATGTATCACTGGCACCCTGCAAAACTGGTGAACCAGGAGATAAACGCTGACATTTGATCAAAAGTAACTTTCCAACCCATGGCTGCATCTCTGCAGTGTCCCAGCTTTGCTGCACCCAACTATTGCAGCTCTCCCCTCTCTCATTTAAGGATTAAAGCAGAACTTGTTCTAATGAGGGAACGTTAAGGAATAGTTAAAATTCCTGGATTCTGTGTAGCTTGGGTAGCAGGAAGGTGAGAAAATGCTAATAAATTTTTTAAAAAAATTTAAATGGGCCTCTAGAGGCTTTAGATTGAAAAAGCATTTCCAAATGACTATTTATTCCACGTGCTGCTGCATTCACCCTGGGATTTATTTAATGGTATAAGAATTTAAATTGAATGACAGACACTGATTCAAGCACAGTATTTTGAAAAATAAGCTAGAATATATATTAAAAAATTGTTAACCCTGTCAAAAAGTGACTTCTATAATGTTTTCCTTTTCCCTCCCCAGAGGTGCCTGTCATTTCCATACAACTCGTTGGAACAAATAGTCTCGATCTAAGAGCTGAAGGGCAATTAGTGATCAGAGAAGGGTCCACTCATCCAAAATGTAAAGATCCTATTGAACTCTAGGCTCAGAAATTTGTGTTTAAAGGTGTCCTGCTGGACAAGGAGTCAGAGAAGAGGTGCAGGCTCCAGAGCTGTGTGGTCTCAGCTGAACCCAAGGCAGGAAGGCACCCCAAGGCCAAGGGTGCAGGGTGACCCACAGCACCCACTGTGCTGCCTGCACCAGGCTCAGGTTTGGCACAGAAAGAAATTGTTGTGTCACTGTGACTTCCCTGGCCTCAGTGTGACTCCTGCTCATCATCATCAGCATTGACAGCACTTGTTACCTGTCCAGAGCTGCTTCCCCACAAAGGCACACAGCAGGGAAGGGAAGGAAAAGGGACAGAAGTCCTTAAAAGTGGGCATTTCCTAGGAAAAGCAGATCTGAATCCTGATGCAATCTGTGGGAATTGCAGGTGGAAACTGCACCACTTTGCAATCCTTCCACTAAAATGAGAATTACACCTTTTTCACCCTCGTCACAAGGAAGCAGAAGTTAGTGTTTAACTTCTGCTATTCTGGCAAATAAAATAAATACAGTTATTGGCAAGTGACATATTTGATCTGCTCAGATGTGATGGAATTACAGGAAGCTGTAAGTCCAAAAAACCTATTCAAGAGGCTGCTTGTGATTTCACTGAAAAGTTGATAATCTCCCAACCTGTTCATCTCCTTCTTAGGGCAGGCAAAAAAATATTTCTTTTGTCCATTTATGAATCATTTCTAACACACTCCAGAAAAATGACAAAGCTGGAAATATGAAAACTTTTTTCATTCTTAGGATACTAACAAAAGGCCTTAGTGTTGGTGGGGATTGTGATATCAGCATTGTTTTGTGCTGACAGTGACATACCAAGGACATACAATTGGAGGTGGAGGGGTGGAAAAGGGAGAAGGAGCCAAGCAGTGCAAATCCATCCTCCTGCCAGAGTTCTGACTTTTATGAAATTCCTCTAATGTCAGGGGACTGCAGGATTAGCTCTTGAAGCTGCTTGTGGGCACGCACTTCTTAAAAGCAGATTTCACCTGCTGCAGTTGTGCCAATCAGACCCTGTGTATAATGAGGAAGGTCTTTACCTCTTTTGGAGCATCTTTCTGTATGAATGTTTCAAAAATGGTCTTGGCTTTTGGCAGAAGTTCTTGCGCACTTTTGCTTTTCTTGTAATCCTCGCAGGCTATCCAGAACTCAATGTTCTCCTCACTGAACTCCGTTTTCAGAAACTTTGTGAAGGCATCCAGCCCAGCTGCAAAAGGGAAAGTTGAATTGCATTAAAGAATATATCCTTATCAGACAGTTACTCTTTCAAAGTAGTAAAATATGTTTTTCTCCCTTGGGATAATACCACCTTACAGATAATTGTCTGTAAAATACATAAATGTTTTAAAATAAATGCAGTTTCTTCATTATGATCCTGCAACTCATCACAGAATTCACAGCATCAGTAAAAAAAATGTTACTAAGGTTTCATAAATTTAGAAAAAAACATTAAGCAAAACATGTATTTATATGTGGAAATGGTGGACTTTATTCCAGCTGAATATCAATTTGGGTTGATCAAAAGACTCTTTGAATCTTTGCTCATAAGCAAACCATTCTTCAGCAGCAATTTAAAATGGATGGCTTTCAGCATCTCTATCATTTACTTTATCCTGCTGTTGCTATGCTGAGGATATTTTCTTTCCCAAGCACACTTCATCTGTGGAAGTAATGCAATTGTGTGGATGGGAGCTGTTCAGGGAACAGGTTTGAAAAGCACACAGTGTCCAGCCCTGCAGCTGAAACACAGGTGTGTGTGCCCCTCCAAAATGAAGGCAGGAACATATGTGCATTTGATAATTATGGGAGCAGCAGGGCCTCTCAAATGATCTTGGATCAAATCAGCTTGGATCCAGTCACTGGCTTGGAAACAAACTCTGTCAGGAGTGACAAGGTGTTTTCTTAAGTACATGGAACATATGCAGTCAGGAATATTTGAGCAATATTCAGATTAAATGCTCCTGGTTACTGAAGAGACTTTTTGCTGTCTGCTATATTCCTTTGTTCAATAAAACACCAAACTCAAAAATAATTTTAAACTATTTTCACAAGCTGACAGCAAGCTGTAGCATAGGAAGACAAGGGGAGCAGGAAATACCTGCTGCTATAAATGACCCATCATACCTAGTTTAGGTAACTGCCACTTCTAGTTGAGGGCACAACTGGATTTTAGAATTTTCCATCCTCTACCATCCATTTTCCATCCTACCAGTCTGCATGGAGACAGAAAAAACTACTGACCTTTCTCAGAAAGCAGTTTGTCAAAAGACTTTCCCCATTTCACTGCTTCCTCAGGAGACACACTGCGTGAGAAACAGAAAGGAGTTTTGAAGAATTGCTCAGACTGTGCACTTAGGAGCTGTGTAACACACATCATCTCTTCCCACTGTGGCTCAGGGCTGCTCCACAAAGCCTTTCATGGACCGTGTGTCCTGCTTCAGGGCAAGTTTGGGAGAGAAGGGAGATCACTAAGGGAGATCATTCTCTTAGGGACTTCAGGAACATTTGCTTTAACTCTTTCCTGACATTTTTCCCGGCAGAGTTATACTTGTTTCCTCTTTTTATGAAACCATCAGAGCAGAGGCTTTCTGCTGTGGCACTTGTGTTGTCCTAGTAATCTTTAAGGGAATTGAGACCATGTAGCATGGTGAAAGTCCTAAGGGAAGCAGGTCTTGTCAGCTGTTTACACTTGAGATTCTGGCACAGAGATGTGGTTTTGAATACTCTCACTCTGAGGCTGTTACAACATTCTGCTTTTAGTGAAATATGCATCATTCTATAGCCTGAAGACAAAACTGTAGCAAGATAGTTTAGGTGTCAGTCTTCCAGGGCAATAGCACATGTAGTCTGGTTTGTTTACCACAAACATTTCAAATGCTGTGTTATTCTGTGCCTCATTTATAAAACTCTTCACATTCATCAAGTATGACAGGCTGCACGTGTTTCACTTCAAGGAAACAGCAGAGAAAGGAAAAAAATTCAGTTGCTTTGTGGATGTGAATATTTACAACCATTTTCATTCCAAGGCAAACCACAGGACACTGAAAGTATCAATAAGTGACTGGTCCAGGATTAGTTGGTCAGATCAAGTTCTTATGGACTGAATGTTTCTGGAATATGATCCCACTTCCTCATCAAGGCTTGCTGTCCTGTTGCCTAATTTACAGAGTTTGGGCTCCCTTGGCAAAACCTGTAGGCACATGAAGTTCAGGTGAAAGGAAATTCCAATCTCTCTGGGAAGGAATCTAAGCCAGTAATGATCCTGAGTTTGCACAAAACTCAAAAGGAGGAGATTTTTATTTATTTATTTTAATTTTTTAGGTGTCACACGTTCCATAGCTGAAGTCGTTGCTTTCAAGAATGAAAACTTTCACTAGAGAGAGGAAAACAGTTTGTGAGGAGAAATACAAATGCTGGAGAAAGGAAATTCAGGAAAGTCAGACAAAATGAAACCTCACTCCCTTACAGAGGCCATTGGTTATGAGAATTACCAAAAGTGCAGTGAGCTCTGTCAGCTGCAGGCTCCTGCACCTACAGAAATGATTTTGGTCATAGTGGAAGATAAAGCCTCATGACTTCAGACCACATGCTCAGAGGCATGGGATGCTGGAGAGGATCTTTGCTGGGTTTGGAAACTTCTACTGCGAATTTCTGTTTTTCCTTCAGAATCTGCAACAACCCTGGAGCCTCACAGACCCCCGAGTGCAGCAGTGAGCTTGTGCAACAACAGACAAAGCAAGATTTGTTCAGCTTTGCCACTTCCTAAACATGAGAACAAACAAATTTAAACTAATGGATAAACATCTAAACTGGAAATTAGCTTTCAATTAACTTTTGTACCATCACCCCAATGTCCATCTGCAGTGTTTCATTAAATTCTACTTATTTTAGTAGCTCTGTTGGAAAAATGGAAATCATAAAAGCTAAGTAAATCACTTAATAAACATCAAACTATTATCTCACCTTATTATTTGAAAAAGAGTAAATTTTTTTAGTTTGGTTTGGTTTGTTTAGGGTTTTTTTTCCATTTTTGACAAATATAATTGCCACTTTAATCCAAATATAAAGACCAGCAAAAATCTACAAGTTTCTTTTCCATACAAGAACAGTGAAATCTCTGTTAGTCAGGCACCAGCTGAGAGTAACAAGGTAAAAGGCAGCTGGCTGGGTGAGGAAGTGATGGTCTGTTAAAAGGGGGAAATTCTTCAAATTCATTGTTTCTGCTCTGAAAGTGTCTGGCAGACTGTGAGAATGCAGTGAATGGCTGTACTTTGTATTAAATTTAATTTCAATTTGTATTAAATAGCGGGGGTGCAGGAGCCAGCAGCCCTGTCTGCATGCAGGCAGCTCTGCCTTCTCCTTCCAGATGCAATCTTAGAATGGTTTCACTTGTCTGCAACCAGGATATTGCAGAAGAAGAGCAGGGAACACGGCCTGGGGAGTGTTTAGATACCCCCTCCCAGCCACTGTGCCATGGGTTCTGGGAGCAGAGTTTGGGCCCTTGGGTGACCTCTGCCACGTCCTCGTTATTCAGGAGGGCTTGGAGAAGCAGCTTTGGTCAAAGCAGGCAGCTTGGTCCCAAAGCAGGACCTGCTGGAATGAGACAAAAGGCTGTGGCAAGCACTGAAGGGTTCTGGGGAGATTTGGGTGGAAAGCAAGGGCCGGGACATTTTCTAGGCCACGGCGTTGCAGAATTCTACCCAGTCCTTCCTCTCAGGCAGGACCTACAAACGCAATTCTTAATGTATCAATGAGATCTTGGCCCTCCACTGAAGTGAGGGATTAAACTCTCATGGAAGTCAGCAAAGCCGGGATTGTACCCTGCATCTTTGTGGTAAATCCTACCAGAGTCCGTGGACTTTGGAGACAAGAGTATTCAACCAATTATTGCAGTTACTGAAGAGCTCTGCATTCAGTGTTTAACACACCTATGGCATTTGGACACCACAGAAGTCTCTGGAACACCTGCTTTGCATGGAGCTGTAGGATTTTCCTGCAAGCTGCACTTCTGAGTTGATTGTTGCTCTGTGGAGTCACTGGAGTCCCCCCAAGGCTGCTGGCACAAGGTTTAAAGCCCTCTGCAGCTGTGTGGGCACCAGTGGTGTGGGAGCACTGCTGAGTGCTTTGATGCACACCAGGTGGTTCTGTGGTGTTTGCATGCCTGGGGAGCTCTGGTCACTTTTCAAGGTGTTCCTGTGCCCCAGAACACACAGCCAGGGTACAGGAAACACCCTGAGTCAGCAGCTGCTCCTCGGAAGGAATCCCCAGCCGGCCCCAACCTTTCACAACGTTTACCTCGCTGCTTTTGTCAGGCTTCCAGGTTTGCCAAGGTGATCACCTTCATGGAACTCAGGTCTCTGCAGGAGCAGGCTCAGCCTGTTTCTCTTCTGCTTAGCTCTAAAACAGAATTGGAGCAGATGTTCAAGAAACATCATAGAAAGTTTTTCCCTCTTCAGCATTCTCCGCTTCTGTGTTACAGATCTCCCTATTTTCACTTTCAGTAATGTTGGTGTCACTTCTCCTACATATATTATTCACATTAATGCTTTTTTCTTCATAGCTTAGCACAAATTTACATATGAAGCACTGGCAAAGAAAAATGGAAATCCTTTCATTTCCAGCATCCTTTTCATTTATTTTAAAGACAAAGGGGCCAAACTTGCCATTAGAGAACATAAACAGTTGGCTCAGCGTCTTCTACTTTTAATGTTTCACAAAGCAAAAAGGAAGTTTTACTTCCTGTCATTTGAAATTTGTGAAGAAAGCTTTCCCGGATCATATTCAGGCTTTAGAGAAGCATTTCTCAGAACTGCTTGCAACCTCTCTTTCTTTGTATTTTTAGATCATTAATTTGATTTGTTTCTTGTCCTCAAAAAAACAAGAGCTCTTTGAGATAACTCTTTAAGAAGAGTTAATATTTTACACATATCATTTCTGGGATTGCAGTTCATGAGTTCTCATACATATGTCAACAATGAAACGAGCCCCACAAAGCGATGCTGGAAGATGTTCCATGTGAGCAGAGGGTTCATGAGCTGAACACTCACCCAGGTTTGTTTGCCTTCTGTGGCTCCTCCCGAACCGCCGATCTCATGGCTCTGTAATGGCCTTTATCCTCAGCAGCAGAAACGTTGAGCTGGGGGAATAAAAGCAGTGGGTTCTCCATCCTCCTCTGGAACAGCTTGTGGTGAGGCTCCCTTGGCTGCCTCGGCCCTGGTCCGTGCTGCCTGGGGCTCTCACATGCTGCCCTGGCCAGCCCTGTGTCCAGAGCAGGTGGCAGGAGGTGGCAGGAGGTGACAGAAGGTGTCAGGAGGTGACAGGAGGTGGCAGGAGGTGGCAGGAGGTGACAGGAGGTGACAGGAGGTGGCAGGAGATGGCAGGAGGTGACAGGAGGTGGCAGAAGATGGCAGGAGGTGGCTGTGCCCTGCAGGCTCCGAGGGCAGCTCCGCCTGTGTCCCTGTCACTTGGGGAAGTGACTCTGCAGCTTGGCAGGGCTGGGCTGCTGGGGCTGCTCTGGGCTCCCAAACGTGCCCAGGGCTCCTGGAACCAGCCCTGGTGCCAGTGACACCTCCCAAAACAGCGTGCAGCCTTGTCCCCAGCTCCATAGGATCCATCCACACCCAGCTCCACAGGATCCATCCATCCCCAGCTCCACAGGATCCATCCACACCCAGCTCCAGAGGATCCATCCACACCCAGCTCCAGAGGATCCATCCACACCCAGCTCCACAGGATCCATCCACACCCAGCTCCACAGGATCCATCCACACCCAGCTCCACAGGATCCATCCACCTCCAGCTGCCCTCTGCAGCCTCAGGGCCATGTGCTGGCCACAGGTCCACCCACAGCAGCTGACTTCAAACCCAGAGCTCCTCAGCATCTCCTCCAAGCTTTGGCTGATCAATCATTTTGTCAGCAGATATTTTAATTTCTGTGCCACTCTTCAGAAACTACAACCACCCACCTCTAATTTCCAGCTTGTCCACTAAATGCTCTCTCTTTAACTTCTCTGTCTGGATTTATTTTTACTTGCAATCTCCCACCCAGGATAAAAAGCCTTTAGTTCAGAAAAAAAAAAAAAAAAAAAAAAAGGATTTTTCCATTTTATTTTGTTACTTAATAACCCAAAACTGCTCGTTTCAGTTTGCATAAGGTAAAAATGTTTTAATCTTTGAGGTTGTTCAGCACAAATTACCTCTCCACTTACAAGTCTGATGTCAGTTAAGTTTCTTGGTTTAAGTTCAGTTTCTATTGGAGGTGTCATAAGAATGTTACATCTAATAAAGAAACATCCTCAGTGTTAGCTGAAGGGGGCACTGGAAAGGGTTAAATTTAATGCAGTAGTTAATTGATTAGGAATTAAATAGTTCTCATGTTTTTAATGGCAGTGTCTCATTTTGACTTCTCAGGTAGGACACTGAGCTTTGAGGAGAAGACATCAGCTCATCACCTCCCATCATTTTTTGTGTTTTGCTTACTTAGTTCTGGTGAGAGTCCCCCTGTGGCTTTTTTCTTGTGGAGCTGAGGAGGATGGGAATTGGAGACACTAATATTCAAAAGAAATAAAAAAAAATTCAACTCTGCTAGGAATCCAAATTTGTGAAACATTGAAAGAAGAAAAAGATTATATCTATTGTGATTTTTTTTTTTTTAATGTGAAAAACTGAAAAACTCTCATGTGCTACATGTGTGATACAAATTTTAAATTCAGACTGAATGGGAAACAGTGCACAACTGCCTTTTGTAACCCAAGGAACTTTAAGAAGCAGGGTTACAGTTTAAAGCTCATTTCAATTTCAGAGAAGGCTTTTGCACTGTATCATGCATATTTTAAACTGGCTTTAACCACAGCTGTGTGTGATAATTTATTCTGCCTTTTACAGATAAGTAAATAAATATAGACTGCATGATTTTGTGTCACTTTTCTGCAATAGTGGTGGTCACATGAGCTTTTTTTACCTGTTATGTGTATAAAATACTGTCTGTGCTCGTCTGCCATCATTTTGTTACCTGCTGATTTCTGCTCCCAGAAAACATTTTTAATTGTAGCCACCACAGTCCATCTAGGCTGATTTAAGGAAGATTTGGAGCATGGAACATAATTCAGAGGTGAATTATGAGTGGCCACTGTGCCAGGCAGCTTCTGGATGGGGATGAGCAGCTGTGTCCCCTCTTCCAGCACCCACCAGCCATGGGCTGAACTCACTCTCCTGCGTGGGTTTTATGCCCCAGATGCTGGAATTTTGTCTGCATTACACCTCAGCAATCGTGTCTTGACTGCAGCAGTGTGCTGTGCTCCTCCTGAGAATTCCCTTGGAAGTCTGGAGGAATGTGGAGAGGGAGGGAATAATCACAATCTTTCCCCCATGCACACACACTTTTTTTTCCCCCCATTAATAGAAAGCTAATATTAAATCCAGGCCACAAAGTAGCCAGACTGCCTCCAAGTCAGTCTGTGTTTTGTCAGCGCTGCTGCTGGTGCTAATGAGCATCCCTGCTTTGCACTGGAGGCTGCAGTAGTTATAGCAACAGTGTTAATGACCCTGCAAATGCTTCTGGGCCATTTTGGGTGCTGCAAGATGACGAGATAGGAAAATGAATAAGTTATTTTAAAACCAGATAAAACAGACACAGAATATTATGTTGATGACATGACTAGAGATCTAGAAAGCTCTAAAAAAAAAATTGTGATGAGAACTAAATGTTCTGATTCCCAACTGTTTCTCTAACCACAGAAATATATTCACAAATCTGTTGGGAAGGAGGCTACTGATTTTTAAGCCCTCAAATCGAGGTTCTCTCTGAAATGTGAGAACAGTATTGAGTTAATGTTCTATGCTCTGTGTAGAAACACATTTTTCAATGGTTACATGAACACCAAATGTATTTTCATAACGGAGCTCCTGTGGCACAAAAGTCAAATTGAATAGAGCATAAAGGGCAGGATGATGAGGTGATTCCTGATCCTTTGGGCCTTCCTGTCCTTTGGCTGAGAAGTGTCTGCACTGGCTCCTGTTGGTGTTTGACAAGGTCCTGTCACAGCTGATGATTTGTACAGAGACAAGAGCTGCCCTTGGTGGAAGCGATGCTGAGTGACCGTGTTGGCAAGCAGAGTGAACTGGGCACTGGGAATGTTCCCTTCTTTCCAGGAGGCTCTGAGAGGTTCAGGCTTTCAGTCCAGCTGAACAAAGTGCAGCCCTGCCTGAGCAGCTCAGCTCAGCACAAAGCTCTGGAGCACCTCGGGAAGCTCTCCTTTGTTAATGATCCCACTGCAGCTCTCTCCAAGCTCTTTTCCTTCTTTCCCAGCTAAACGCAAACTTCGCCTCCTCCGTTTCCTTCCTCCTGTTCTGGCACTGCCCAGGCTCCTCCACAGCCAAGCTCCAGCACTGTTCTTCTTCAAATCCAGTCTTACCAGTATGGCTTTGTTGGGTTTCTGCTGAAGGGAAGAAATATTCATCTCTGTGAGAAGAAAAACAAAAAAACCAAAACCAATAGTGTTTTTACTGTTTTATTCTTACAGGAAGAAGTCAGCATGGAAAGAAACTTCACTGAAGAGCATGGGCTGAAAACATGAATTTCCACATTTCTTTTTCATGTAAAGACACTTGAAGACTTGAAAATTAAAATTATGTCTTTTGAATTAACGTGTTTTAATTAATTATTCTGCTCTTCAGTCACTTCTGACCAATTTACCCCTCCTCAATATTTATGTTGTTTATTCCTCATTGAAAACCATAATTGGACCTAAAATTTAATAATAATATTCCAAGTTATGGTTGTTTTTTTATCTCTTCCCCAGGAAGCAAACCCAGAAGAAAAAGAGTTTTATTGGAAATGTCGAGTAGAGGAACTTGCTGTCTGCTAATTCAGGGAACTTGGGGTTTTTGGGGTCTGCCAGCCCAGCATGGCAGAAGGATTTTTTAAGCCATCCCTGATGCAAACTCAAGCGTGGCACAGCCCTGGGAATCCTCACAGCTTCGTCAGAACTTCTGCTGGGGACAGCGTTTATGTGCGTGCCAAACAGAATTCATTTCTTGGGTCTTTTGAAAGGTCAGAATAGGAAAGTGCAGCGTTCTCAGCCTGTTCCTTTCCTGCTGGCCAGCATCTCCCATTAGCACAGTTTGCATGGGACACACGCCAGTGTCACCTTCCGTCTCCAGCAGGCTCTGACAGCAGAGTGTGGCGTGGGAATAATGAGAACCTTCCCCAGAGACTCCCCTTCCCCACCACAGCTTAAAAACTGCTCCTGTCGGGGTGCTCCTCACGGGAAAAGCTCTCTAGATCCTGCCCAAAATGTCCTTCCTGCTGGAGCTGTGCCCTGCTGCATTTATTCCTCTTACAGAAGCCCAGAAGGATTCCTCCCATGACAACCTGGACTTGGAGGTTGTTGTGGTTTTTCCAAGAGAGATTTTATCAGCCCGTGGCAATGGAGCAGACAGCAGCAAGTATTGGGCTGGGAGCTCTCTGGTCCTCCTGGGGAAGGTGTGGGACTGTTTTTAGTCACACACAGGAGGGCTGTGACTCCTGATCCACTGACTGCTATAAAATCAAACTCCTGACAGCACACACAGGAATAAAATCTGTGTTGCATCAGGACTGAACCGCTGGGTGCTTTAAGCAGAGCCACCACGCTCAGTGCCAGGCATGTCCTCACTCTGCTCTTCCAGGCAGACAATCAGGAATGTCAGGCTGAGCTCCCAGGGCAGGACCTGTCAAACCTCCACAGTGACTTGGCAATATTATTTTTCCAACTTATATTAAATTAAATATTCTTATATTAAATTAAATTTAAATTATTAAATTATTAAATTATTAAATTAAATATTAAATATTCTATTTTATTGTTACTTCTTCCTGATAACACTTTGTTCTGGCATCCTGATTTAGCTGAGGCAAATTGGCTTGCAAAGTGGTGTGGTGGACTTCCCACCAAAGCAGTAAAAAATTGGTACCCAAAAAACTTGAAAATGTATAGCTCAATTTCCATATGAATATGTAAATATATTATCTTCAAATTCTGTCAAAAGAAGACAGCGTCTGAAGGTATAAAAACTACGTGTCACTCTGATTTTTCTCTTCAGTAGTTATCCAAAGACATTCATCATGAAAATTAGGTAAAAATAACAATGTTACATCACATTTCAGTGCAATCTTCAGAATGACTGAAAAATTTTCCAGGAAGGTTCAACAGATTTTTGAGGATTGGAAAAAGCTGTATTCTAAAATGTAAGCTGGGACAGTTTTATTTCCTAGATTATGAAAGTTTTGCAGAAGTAGTTTTCTTTTCCT